GACTCCTTTTGGTAACGCTTGCACCAGTTTGTACCTGCCTGCCTGATTGCTTGCGTGTTGACGCATTGCTTGCTGACCGGCCTACGGACCGGCTACGTTTGCATTTTCATGCTGGAAATAGAATAACTACTTAATTCACTGCTTGCCTACTTATTGACGTAGGCGGAATAAAACAGTTACCAAATCGTTCGAGAGAATAATTCGACCACGAATCTGGAACGAGTGTACACTGCATACTATGAAGGATTGTCTCGTGGGATTGCAAAAACTGATATATGATTTAAAAACTCCAAAACGGTCACTCTAAAAAATATCAAATGCTTCACCTACGATGTATTTCTAACCCAAATGTGACCCATGACGGAGACCCTACCAACTCCCGGGTTGTTCATGATTTCAATTCACAAGAACGTAAGATACCCTCGGTATCTACTTCAAGACAGCATCAAATATGAATACGGTGAACGCCAGTAGAGTCTGACAATGAAATATAACTGCTCAGTACCGAAACCTACCTGGCAATGGTGGTCAAACGTAGAATAGGTGATACTTGAAATGCACAATTAGCTTGACTCATAGCTTTCATAAATTGTTTAAGAAGACAGACAATGATCACACTGTCACAGATTAGGCGGTCACTGGTGCAGTCGCACCACTTACTAAGGGGTTTCCAACAAGTGATGCGTGCGCCGCGGGTGCAAACACTTGAGAGCCTTGAGGTAGCACACCCATCGCTGCCAAAGAATTGACCAGCCCGACAGTTTGTGCGGGCGAGTTGAACGCGGGAACTGCTTGAGCACCAGCAGCAGCATTAGCCAGGCATCCAGCTGCATTTCCACCCAAGGCAGCTGCGTATCCAGCCAACAGAGCTGCCGTGTTCGGGTCGGTCAGATAAAGTGCGGCCGTGGCTGCCGGATTGTATGCTGCTGTGGCCGGTGAGGCTGATGCTAATGCGGCCAGCAAGGCCTGATTATTGGTCACAGAACCGGCAGACTGGAGCGTGCCAAGACCAGCTTGCAGTTGATTGGCTGCATTCAACGATTGCTGAGCTTGACCTTGAAGTAAGCTGCTGATTCCCGGCACACCAACTATAGGAGTCAGACCGGATACGGTAGGTACAGAACCGATTGGAAGTCCCGCTGTCAGTCCGGCCGCGCTGCGTAAGGCTGCGGCTGCTGCAGCAATGGCTGCGGTTGATGAAGTACACGGAACGAGACCGCGAACTCCGCGAAGTGCCGTGGCGGCTTTTACGGATTAACAAAGGGACATGAAAGAGATGAGAGAAAGATGGACTCCGTTTGAGGAGGTAAATTAACTCTTAAAGTTCTTCAAATGTCTATGAAATATCTGTAGTTAGCTAAAGTTGTTGCCCATTGCCCTGTCATTGCCATGCAAACATAGGCGCTCAGATTGTTACAAAAATTCACGTGATCCAACAACATCTTCTTGTGTCCGGATAAGGTAAACGATACAATAGCAATGTGTTTCAGCTTCTGTTTCTTGCTACATACAGTAAAACAACGGAGATGTATGTTTAAAATCCAAAACCATACCTAACCTCAAGGTTGTTTCTATCACGTGACCAAGACCATACATTCCACGGTCAAAAAGAATTCACTTCTAATTTTTTGATAATTTGTTTGAACTAGATATACCAGTCTCATACCACTAATCATACGGAATTTTAGAACGCACACTGAGCAATCGGTGTGCAAATCTTGCGACATGGAGCAACCATTGGCTCCCATGCTTCTGTGCGACAATAAAGAAAACAAAAATAAAAACAGCTTGAGGCACTGCACTAGTACTGGAACACGAACTAACAGTTCCAGTTGGTTTAGACTTGTGCCGTTGAGTAATTAATTGCATTGTTTACTTCAAAATTTGCATCGGACTCCTTAATTAGGTTTCTCGATATGCCCCATTGAAGAGCTCCAAACACGGTGAGAAGCGCGTCTATCGTGGTTTTGGAGCTTATGGCTGGCTGGATCATCTGAACAATAGGCGAAAACCGGAAGTCCGACTTGGGGTCAGTTGAGACCACTAACTGCAATATGCAATTGACGCGAACATTGTACCCGGATGCGACATGTGTG